AGTGTCCATGGCATCAAACTAATCCCTCCATATGTGGGAGACAGTGGTGAAGCTTGGATTATCTGTGAAGCACCTTGTAGTAGGATCAGGATCTATCCCTGGTATATGAGCTAGCTTATTGGAGCCCCATTCCCTATCATGGGATGCCATGCTAGGCCTTAATGTAGGGGTTCTGCCCCAACTTAATGTGCCAGACTTTGCTGACCCCCCCCATTGGGAGGAGTGGATGGGGGTGGGTTGGGAGGATTTGGGGGAGGCAGGAGGAGCTGTGGAAGGGGAGAACTGTGGATGGAATGTAAAATGAAATTAAAAAAATAAATTAAAATAAAAACATGAACACAAAGACATTACTATGAACAGAGAGGAACAGAATTCCTGATATCGTTGGCCTTGGTAAAAACATGGAAAAGTGCCTGGTATGGCAGGTATCTTATCAAGTTCACTTTGACCATTTCTAAGAACCAAATGCACATTAAGCCATGAAACAAACATCAGCAAATTCTTCGGGTTGTGATCCTAGGAACGAGATTCTAGTCACAGATAAGAACCTTTCTGTGCCTCAGTGGCATTCATAAATAAGGGTGAAATTTCTTCCTAAGTTAATTTAGATATTTAATGATCTTACAGTAAAATTTGCAATCCATTTTTGGTAGTATGTATAAGCAGTATACAGAATATGTAATAAGAGGGCCATGGAGCCAACACACTTTTGGATAAAAATAGGTAGACAGCATGGTCAGACTATCATAAAACACATAGTAAGCAACAAACTGTTATCTTCAGAAGTAAAATGTAGACCAGTGAACGAGAATAGAGAGTCACACCCATATAGAACCTTAGAATCGGGTAGCAATGACATCCAGGTGAGTTATCAGATGAGATATTTAAGTGAAGGATCAGGCAGTGTTATTCATGTGGAATAATGGAAGAATAAGAATGCCCTTCATCTTGTGTAGTGCGACAAAATCAATTATAGAAGTATCAAAACTTTGCAACTACTAGAAGCAAATACAAATAAATGTTATTGTATCTTTGGAGGCTGAAGGACTTTTAAAAAGACAAGAGGGGAACAATTACAAGTGTGGTGTAATAAGAATGGCCCCATAAGCTCACATATTTGAATGGTTAGTCCTCAGTTGGTGAATTGTTTGGGAAGGATTAGGAGGTCCATATAGCCTTGTGGCAGAGGTATGTCACTGGGGGTAGGCATTAGGCTTCAAAAGTTTAGGACATTCCCGAGTTAGATTTCTCTCTGATGCCTGTGGATTAACATGTAAGCTCTCAGCTACTGCTCCAGTGCCATTCCTGCCTGTCTGCCGCCATGACGCCTACTATGATGGTCATGGACTCCAAAACTCTGACACTGTAAGCCTTAAATAAACTCTTTCTTCTGTAAAGTGGCTTTGGTCATGATGTCTTAGCACAGTAATATAAAAGTAAGACAGTACGTTTCTATGAAAATTAAGAGCTCCTTTCTATTTCATTATAGACTAGAAAAGACAGGCCACAAGTCTGACAAAGTAGTTTTATAATATATAAATTAATAAAAGATTAGTAACCAAGAGAATAACTACATGTCTCTAAGCAAAAGATAACCCAATGGGAAAATAGCAAAAAGATACTAAAGCAGATTTCACTCAGTAACTATTGGATGCATAAATATATACTCAACTATTCTCAAGAACGGAAAGGCAAATTGCAGGTTTACAGCATTTGGGGATATGAATGAGTCCAGCAAGGTTGATTCAGTCTTCCAACCTCCATGAGTGAACATGGTGTGAGAAGAGACAAGTTCTCATGAGCCAGTGACTATGGGTTCCAGAACACCACTATGTTAGTCATTAGTAACTAGGGGAATCCACATTAAACTATATTGGTATAGCAATGATCATACCAACCAGATGGATAAAATTCAAAATAAAAGAAAGTTAAGGATCAGCAAGGCGTGAATGGTAATTCTAATCCATTCTTCATGGGAATACAAATTAGTTAAAAATACTTTCAGTCACAATTAGGCATTTACTTATAAAGCTGAACATGAAATTATCATTCAACCTGGCAATACTACTTCTCATACGTAACAATTACACATGCGGAGAAAGTTTTATGTATCGGAATGTTCTCAGAAGCATGATTCACAGTAGAATGACACATAAATAATAAGACTTCCCATCAAATACAGAATGGGTAAATGCATATTGGTAATTCTTGAAATGAAGACTAAAGAGAAATACACCAACTAACCACAGATTAATCTGTAAACAGGCAAAACTAAACAAATAGGGAGTAGATGTGTAAGTATTAAAACCATCAAGAAAATGGTAGACACTAAATCCAAGAAAGTGAACTCTGAGGGCAAGGGAAGTGGGTGTAATCTAGAGAGGGGTATTATAGTCCTCCACAGGTATCAGTAATGCTTTATTTTACTTTTAAAAAATTTTTATTTTTGAATTATGTTTGCATGTATAGTGTACATGTGGGTGTGGTTGCTCATGGAAGTCAGAAAGGGCATCAGGTCCCCTATAGCTGGAGGTAAAGGTTGTGAGCTTCTCAATCCAGATGGTAGGAACAGGTCTTAGATCTTCTGCAAGAGCAGAAAGTACTCTTAACTATGGAGTTATCTCTCCAGCCCCAATAATGCTTTATTTCTTATGTTTTAGATGCATTTTTCAAAAGTCCAAACATAAATTAGAAAATATATTGATAATTTAAGGGGAAATTATAGTAATAAATAAAAGCATTATTATAGAAAGAATCTAAGTCTAAAAAAAAAGTAAATGTTTAGTTGCTCTAGGGATAGCCCAGTAGCTGTGTACTCTATGACTCAAATCCCAACTCCTGCACCATGTAAAAGCCAGGCAGAGTGGCACATATTCGTCATCCGTCTCTGGAGAGGTGACGAGAACAGGATCTCTGGTGCTGCAGGTCCCAGTGCAAATCTCTATAGACACTCCTTCCCCCTAACCTCAAAAGGATGGATAGCTCTCTAGAAAAGATACCTGACGATGATTTCTGCCTTCAACAGGCAAGTGCACACACATGCAATCACACGCTAGTCAATCTGTGCCCCCCCAAAATAAGTAAATACAGATAATTAAATATCTTTGTTCTGTAGCACCTAGGTCAACCGATCCTTAAGCAATCTTACACATAGCTGGAAAAGTCACGTCTTCCCTACTGGTATTGAAATTGGAAAATATTGAATGTTGAGATGCTTATGTCTAATATCTCTTCTTTCAAAACACCACTGATTTTTAGAGAGTCTTTTATTAAAAGGGATCTTATGAGATCCCATATAAAGCTACAAAAAGGAAGAACATGAATTAATTATATTGCCAGGCAACTTAGGACCAAAATATTTCTCACTGGAGAGGAGATAATGCAATAACCTAAGCTTTATACGACAGAGCAGCACACGGGGAGTTGGAGGGGTTGCTCAGTGGGGAATGGTGCCTGCTCCCCCAGGCTGGGAACCTATGGAAAAGCTAGTGGACAGAACTGACTCCACACCATTGTCCTCTGACCTTCACGTGCACACTGGGTCACATGCCCTCCTACCTCCAAATACCCCCTCTCATACATGCTAAGAAACATTTACAAACTAACAAAACAAGATAAAACAAAACAAAGCAAAATACACTGGATAGCTTTATGCAAAGCTCTTAAAGGTATAATTACTTAAAAATCCAGGGCTAATGAGTAGTTCAACAACAGAGGACCACCTTAACATATATAAGATCCTACTTCAATCTCCAATGCCATAAAAAAAAAAACCAGCAAAAATTTTAAACTACCAAACACTGGCAACTTTTGCTCTAAAAGTAACTAGTTATTTTATTTAAAATATTTCTAATATTTTGGCAATTTCTACAATAGTTTCACAATTAGGTTAGGGTTACACGGCATAGCCACAGTTGTGTAAAAATATACACAGATAAACAAATGTCTGTAACTGACATTCCTAAGTGCTGCTGCTCTCTCAAGGGCCATGTGCTCCTTCAAGGTCTGCACAATGCAGGGAGGGTCCTCTAGTCTTCCGAGAGCTGGGTTAGATGGGCAGATATACAGGAAATGGTGAGGGCCCTGCAGAGCCCAGCAAAGAAAACCTCCTATTCTCTGTTAAAATGTTCTTTATTCAAACTATTTTCACTTTCATTTTGTATGTTAAAGAACGTAAGCCCTATATGCTTAAATATTCATAAATAGCTCAAATTTGCCTTGTATTCTCTTGAAGGCTGAATGGGCAAGAGATATAAATATCCATTACTTATAATTGAAGTAAATAAGCTATAAAATACCTGCTTCAAATCATTCTAGTTTATACTTTCAGTGACAAAACACACACACACATACACACCCCTAGTATGGTTTTTGAAGGTTAGTCATAACTAAAGATGGTACACTGTGGACAATTTCCACATAGAGATGTTCAGCTTGCTTCCTGCAAGGTACCTAGGATCTTCTATTGCAATTAAGAGCTGTTCTAGAGGAGCCCAATTGAGTACTCCTTCCATTGAAAGAAACAAAACAAAACAAATTCAAACTTGGTTTCTTCTCATTAGTTATCGTGGGCCTCATGCAAAACTTCATTAACGTGTGGACTGTTATACGACCCCAAGTTCTCTAATCAAAGAGCAAAACTCACCCCTTGAATCCCCTCTTTCCATCACCACAAAACAAATTAGCAAGCTCCAAAACAGAAAGAGAAAACCAGTGCCATCAATTAAACGTTAAAGAGTTCCAGGCCTGAATGGCTGAATGGAACAATGTTGACCAGTGACCCAATTAATTCGGGGCCCGTGCTTTTCCATCTCCAGGCTTTCTGGATAAAGGCAGGCTCACAACTTCCACGCCACCCTCTTCACGACACAACATCCTATCATTGAATAATAGAAGACAAACACTGACCTAGTTTAGACGTGCAGATGAAAAGAAAATGAAAACAGGATACATGACAGTGGCGAGGACACCATGGTAACTAGAGAGGGCTGTTTGCTTACTTTATTTTGCTCAGAATAATCAGCAAGCTGAGCCTTCAGCTCGGCGATCTCAGCCTCCAGCAGATGGATCACTTCCTCAAAGTCCATTTCCATCCCATGCGCCTGCCTCTGTGCGGCCTCAGCAAGATGGATCCGGCTGCGCAGAGCTCGTGTTTCCTCAGCGACAGCTTTGGCTTCCTAAGGAGTTAAAAGTTAGTGTCGAGTGAAGAAAATGAAAATGTACTCCTGAGGTCTACACAAAGTATTTTTCTCCTTTTGGCAGTTATGACTCCAAAGTTATGACTTAACATGTCTATGTTCTTTATCTTTCACCTAAAAACTAGTAAACATGGTATTTCACTGTGTGAACCAGCGGCCCTGTCTTTTGTTGGTTTCTTGAAATTTTTTTCCTGTATAAAGATTCTATATGAATCTTTAGCATCACACACCTAGCACTGCTTTTGGAAAAATGAAGGAAGGTAAAGAAAATTGAAAGTCCAAAATAGATGAATAGGAACTGATCCAAAAGACAAAGGGAGTAAGCTACAGAAAAAGGAATAGGTGGAGGGGCTTGTGTGCTCAGGAGGCTACTTCAGTTTCATCAGATGCTGGAGAGGGGCTTACAGTGCTTTGGGGGCTTCGTGATGGACCAAGACCAAGGTAAAGCTTTCTTCCTGGATATCAGACTATTACTTCTTGTTTTGACAGTAGCATAATTTATAGTTGTTTATCTGTTGGATCCAATATTCAAAAGACAATGGGTCAAACACCATTTATTCATAAGCAATCAGAGACCCAGGGAATAAGCAAGCTGATCAAGGGCATATAGTAAGACAAATTTTGAGCCCAGGTCTGCTTGGCTTCAATACTAACGATCTCTTCTCTTCACTGTATTGTCTTTGGATGACAGAATAAAACAAAACAAATAAACAAAAATGCTCCATACACTAGCTATACTTTTCACTTTGGAAGGTTAGGGTGGCAAAAGTCATTTGCTCTCTCAAAATGTGCCTTGTTGCTAGGTCACAGTCCCCTAGGACACCCGTCTAATTTCACATGGCAGCTATTACAGCGTAAAACTCTTCTTTAGAGAGTGCGGGAATCCCTCTTCTCTGTAATGGAACTTTCTGCTCCAATTGCCATGGCTAATATTAAACTATGGCTATTTTGACGTTCTTGAAGCTGTTACGGAGCATTTGCTTTTGGTGGAGCATGAAGTACTGAGAGAAGCACGGGTGTGGGAATATCCACAAGGGTCTGTTTTCACTCAGTCAATAAGTGTTTATTATATGCCAATCTCTGCAATACGCATGAACAGTATTCACGGAAAACTCTTGCCCTTCAAAAGCAACGTTCCAGCTTTGAGAGACAGATAGTAGGTTGGGCATGAGTTATGATCTCAGTTAGAAGACACTGACTAGAGACCCACAGAAGGGACCGTGTCATGATTTCCTGAGAAGAAGCTTTCTGGGCAAAAGCAGCACAGGTGCAAAGGGTCTGGAATCGGATTGGGCTTTCTATCTTTGGAGAACATGGAGGCAGTCGGAGAGGCAGAAGCAGTGAACAGTATGGGAACGACAGGGACGTAGGGAGGACACCAGGGCAGAGAGGTAACATGAGTGAGTGAGACAGGATGGCCTGAAGAGTCAGGTCTTAAGAGCATTCACAGGCCATCTAAAGGAGCTCGGCTTTCCTCAGAGTGAGGCAGGAAGTGATTAGAGGGCCTTGAATAGAGAAGTGATAGGAACTGGCTGAAGTTTTAAGGCGGTGCATGACTCTACTTAGTTAAGAACAAACTGTATGGGAGGACACAGGTGGGAGCAGAAAGAGGAGGAAGGGAACAAGTAAAACTAACTGTGGTGGGCCAGAGTGGTTGTAGAAGAGAAGGTAGATGAGGCAGTTAGAGTTCCAGTACAGTTTGGGAGTAGAACAGGCTAGGTCATCAGCAATAGGAAGTTAGCATCTACTTTATACAAACAACTGGGGGATATGATGTAAATCCAATACAAAAGGGTAAAAAATACCTACACCCTTCTGGCTCAGCCTGGAGCATAAGGTGTGATGTAGATAAATGGAGTAAGGAGTGGTAGAGAAAATAAAATAAAATAAAATAACAAACAAACTAAAACCAACATGAACAAATGAGCCAGAAGGAACATGGCACATGAGAAATGATGCCAAGTGGGTTCTGACTGAGGTAGAGGGATCCTATGGGAAGATAGGTTTTAGTTGGTGTGTTGTTAGAAGAGCTATATAAACAAATGAATAAATCAGATTAATTTTAAAAGGTAAACCTGGCAGCTGGGTGCAAAGTGGAGCAGTATGAGAAATCAGCTGCCTTCTACACCTGCCACCCAAAGAATTTGATTCCCTTATATCTGAAAATATTTGTCTTATACCGTAAGGGTGCCTTTAGAAGTGAGAGTATGGAGGAGAGAGGGGGGTCTACCTAATGTAAAGCACCTGTCAGTCCAGCCCAGGTAACCAGGAAAGTTATGAGTGATAGACCTGGGTCAGCTTCCCACCAGATTGCTGCTGTGCACACAGGAGGCACCAGTTTAACATACCAGTCCTGTTCTAGAGGTTGTGTGTGTCGAATCAGCTAACTGCACACTGCACTATAAAGGTATGTCTAGAATCACCCTCACTTTAAAGGCAGGGCACCAAAGCACAGAAAGTTTAGTGGCAAGGCTCGGATTTGAACTCATGCGGTTTAGTTAACAGAGTGTATGCTCTTGGTTACTAGTCCATATACTATGTGGCCAACTACAGAAAACATTATAAAAATAACTTTTAGGTACCAGTTACCACCAGCATCAGCCCTGCACTAGCTTAGGATGTGGTTATAACAACAGACTCTCCAACACATTTGAGGATACTGTACTGATCCCATTTTCTATTCAATCAAAAAAAAAAAAAAAAAGAAAAGGAAAGAAAAGAAAAGAAAAAAAGAAGCTTCTGAAGTGAGGAGGAAGGGCGGGAGAATCGCCCTGCTGCAGTGAAGAATCACTAATTTGATGCTCTGTCCTCTTCACACTCGCGTCGCGCAGCTTTTATTCCTCCATAAAAACAGCACTTTTATTTTTGTTCATAGAATGCTGGTTAATTAAATGAAGAATCTGGATGGGATTTGTGCAGCTATTGCAGCGCAATGACGGTGATACGGTGTGAAATACGGCTGGGTGGTAAGTGATGCAGAGGTTTTGATGCTGAATAAATTCATACCATCTCTTTTGTAAATGCCTAGGTGTCGGGTGGGTGAATGTGACCCCTTAGCAAGGTTCTAGCCCAGTTCCCACTGAATGACTGCTTAAAAGATTAGAGCACTGAAAGATGCCTTTTAGAGAGCAGTAAAGAACAGATAACAGCAGTGGGCCGGATTTACCGAGAGGATCACAACAATCCATGCTCGCTTTCCCTCCCAGGCTGTCTTCTAATAAATAACTGCAAAGCCTCCTATGTCAGTAACAGCTGAGCTAGAATTTTCTCAGGGCCTCACCATCAACATGAAATCCCAATTAGGACAAAGACAGTAGTCTTTTACTGACAAACTGTGTAAGAGGCAGAATTCAGACTACAGAGGGAAATCTTAAAAGAAAAACAAAGACGTAATAGCGGGTCAGGAAAACCAGCCAGAACATGCTTTTAAATATTGCATAGTATGACTGAACTCAGTGGAAGAAAATTCTGAAAGATGAAGTATAATCAGAATTTTCCTAAGGGCAACAATGAGGAGATGCCTTCAGCCCACAGAGCCTCGTTGTTAAATAAAGGTTTGCCTCCCCACAATTTTGCAGTGAATCTTTAGGAAAGATAAGGCCAAACTCTTCTTTGAAAATGTAATGCATGCTGATGATAATCTTTGTAGGCCACAGATACTCTGGCCTTAGCTAAAGGCCGCTGTGCTGTATGTTTTCATAGATGCAGCGTTTCGCCCACAGAGTAACATGATCTCCAACAAAACAAACAAAAACTTGCTTAGTACAAAAGCGGATCTTTGGGCGTGTCCTCGTTAGGTCAGTATCATAGATCTGAGATTCACTTTTCTCTCATTTCCCGCCTATATGATTCTGTAAGACCCAGCATGTTTCCTACAAGAAGGTTAAAGAAACTATTACCATCCTTGCTACAGCTTTTCCTTTGTGTCTTTTTACTATTTTTTGAGGGTGGGGGAGGGATGTACATATCATCTATGCTGCTACACAGCATGACCAGGTAATTTATTAAGTAAAGACTTCCTTGAGGTACTTAATTGGTAATACTAGCTGTCTGGAAATGTAATTTGTACATGTCTTTTTTAGTAATAAAAATTATGGGAAATCATCCCCTCTCTAGGTATGAATGCTAACAGTTCCCTAAAGTAGAAGTATTAACTGCAGCTGCAAATGCGTAATTAGTTCAGACGTCCACAACACTTACACGCTCTGTAATTTATAAGCCATCAGTAAATCTTTCAAATGTCAGTGGCTGAAAGGAGAAAACAGCAGATTGCAAGGAGATATGTTTTTAGTAAGTTATGCTACCCAGCCCTGAGAATGCTTCTCTTATCAGCTTCCGACATTTGCTCACTGGAAAGCCTTTCTTAGTCTTCAATCCTATTTACAGTTTTCAAAAAGATTAAGGCTTGCTACAGGAAGACGGCTGTTTGGTGAAAGAGAAATGTTTAAAAGCAAGTTATGGCCAGTCTTCTTAATTTGTGTACCTGACTTATTTTTTTTAGCTGTCTGAAAGGATGATCTCAAAGTGCTTTGCAGATATATTCATGAATGAATGAACAACACACCCAATAATGTTAATGAATTTACAGAAGACTCGAACTTCACATAACGCTTTTGGAGACACCCTTTGGCTGTGTAACCCAAACTGGACTTGAAACTCAATGTACCATAGGCTAGTCTCACACTTGAGTTGATCCTCCTGCTTCAGTCTCCCAAAGGCTAGGACAAGAGGCATGGAAGACCAAAACCAGCTCACAGAAAACATATTATCTATCTCTATGCCCCCACCTTTCTTCCCGTCTTCATGGGTACTCTAGGTCTAACGACTGTACCACTTTACTCAATCAGCCACTAACCACTTGTGAAATCTCCAGGGTGCAACTCGCAGGCATTTCTTACTTCCTTTCGTATCCTCACAGCAGATCTGCGTTTTACCATCTAGAGCATGGGATGACAGCCGCATAAGAGATCACCTTGCCT